ACAACCCAGTATTTCTTTTTGTCTGATTGCTGCAGCTAGATCTTCCAGTACTATGTTGAATAAAAGTGGTGAACGTGGGCATTCTTGTCTTCTTCCTGATCTTAAGGAAATGTATTTAACTTCCCATTAAATATGATGTTAGTTGTGGGTTTGCCATATATGGCCTTTATTATTCTGAGATATGTTCCCTCTATTCCCACTTTGCTGAAAGTTTTATCATAAATGGATGTTGGATTTTGTCAAATGCTTTTTGAACTCTATTGATATGACCATATGATTTTTCTTTTTTCATTTTGTTAATGTGGTGCATCAAGTTAACTGATTTGTGGATATTGACCCAAACTTGCACACCAGGAATGAATCACACTGGTCGTGGTGTATGATCTTTTAAATGTATTGCTGAATTCAGTTTGCTAATATTTTGTTGAGGATCTTTGCCTCTATGTTCATTAGGATTATTGGCCTATTGTTTTCTTTTTTTATAATGTCTTTGTCTGGTTTTGGAATTAGGGTAATTGTAGCCTCGTAAAATGAGCTTGGGAGTCTTCTCTCATTCTGAAATTTTTGGAATAGTTTGAGGAGAATAGGTGTTAATTATTTTTTGACAGAGGTAAAATACACCTCTGAAACCATCTGGTCCAGGGCTTTTTGTTTGTTGGGGGTTTGTTGATTTCTGATTCAATTTCATTGGTAGTAATTGGTCTGTTCAGATTTTCTGATTTTTCTTGATTCAGCCTTGGAAAACAGTATGTTCTAGGAATTTATCCATTTCTTCCAGATTGTCTAATTTGTTGGCATATAGTTGCTTATAGTATTTTCTTAAATTTTTTTGTATTTCTGTGGTATCTGTTGTCACTCCTCTTCTTTCATTTCTGATTTTATTTATTTGGGTTCTCTCTTTTTTCTTCTTGATGAGTCTGGTTAACAGTTTGTCAATTTTGTTTATCTTTTCAAGAAACAACCTCTTGGTTTCATTCATCTTTTGTATTTTTTTTGTCTCTAATTTGTTTATATCCACTCTGACCTCTATTATTTCCTTCCTAGTACTCACTTTGGGCTTTGTTTGCTGTTCTTTTTACAGTTCCATTAGATGTTAACGATAGGCTGCTGATTTGATATTTTTCTTGTTTCTTTTGGTAGGCCTGTACTGCTATGAATTTCCTTCTTAGGACTGCTTTTGCTGTGTCCAATAAATTTTGGATCATTGTGTTTTTATTTTCATTGGCATCAAGGTATCTTTTGATTTCTTCCTTGATTTCATTGTTGACCCATTCATTATTAAGTAGCATATCATTTGGTCTCCATGTGTTTGTGTGTTTTTCAGTTTTTTTCTTATTATTGATTTCTACAATAGTTTCATAGCACTGTGGTCAGAGAAGATGCTTGATATGATTTCAAACTTTTTAAATTTTTTGAGACTTGTTTTGTGGTCTACCATGTGGTCTATCTTGGAAAATGTTCCATGTGCACATGAAAAGAATGTATATCCTACTGCTTTGGGGAGAAATGCTCTAAAAATATCGATTAAATCCATCTGGTCTAATGTGTCATTTAAGGCCACAGTGTCAACATTGATTTTCTGTCTGGAGGATCAGTCCATTGGTGTCAGTAGGGTACTGAAGTCCCCCATTATGATTGTGTTACTGTTGATCTCTGCCTTTATGTTGGTCAATATTTGTTTTATATATTTAGATCCTCAGATGTTGGGTGCATAGATGTTTTATAGGGTTATGTCCTCTTTTTGGCTTGATCTTTTCATTATTATGTAATGCCTTTCTTTGTCATTTATTATAGTCTTCATTTTAAAGTTTATTTTGTCTGATATTAGTATTGTGACTCCAGCTTTTTCCTCATTTCCATTTGCATGAAATATTTTATTCCATCCCTTTACTTTCAGTCTGTGTCTTTTGATCTGAGGTGGGTCTCTTGTAAACAGCCTATGCACGGGTCTTGTTTTCTTATCCACTCAGCTACCTTATGTCTTTTGATTGGAGCATTTAATATATTTACATTTAATGTGGGCAGGCAGGCTTCCAGGAAGCTCTGAGGTGTGGTTGGTGGTTTCTGTAAAGTCAATGCAGTTTTGGCTTTAGCACTGGTGCCTGGCCCACAAGCACCCCACAAAAATGCTCCAAGCACACTATGGCCAGCCACTGCCCATCTCAGGCCCCCCACACCACTGCCTAGCTTGGCTCCCATGCAGATCTTGGCTTAAAACCCACCAGCAAATATTTCCTGGGTCACCAGAGGCCCTCTTCCCACTTTAATCTGCAGCCTGTGGGGCAGGGCCAGCAGTCCAGGAGTTGAGTTTCACAGGCGACATAGCACTAGCTGTAAAAAGAGCAGGGACCCAGGCATCACCAAGACAGTGTGCATGTGCAAATTCCACCAGACCAATGTAGTCCCAAACTTGGCCCTTTGGGGGAGGGCTTAATCCTGAAAAGATGGTCCCCCTCCTGCATAAGCCATACATGTGCAGGCTCCATACAGCTCCCATCCATCCAGCTCCTGTACCAAAGGCATTCAGTTCAGACCTTCCCTTCACATCCCTGGTCCTCCTGAACCGCCACCTCTTCCATCAGAGACCAGGTGAGTGCCTGTCAGCGAGCAAGTCCGTATTCCAGCTCTACAAGAAGGCATCTGGGTTTCCAGCTGCCTTCCACCCCACCAGGAAGGGTAGACAGAGTCCTCACTGATTTTCACTGCCAGATGCTGTAGGAACTCCTCTTTCTGGCATAGGACCCCTGGGCTGGGGAGCCTGGTGTGGGATGGTGGGCCCCCTCCCTTTTCAGGAGGACCTCTGCTGCCAAGGTTTTCCTCCCAGCATCCAGCCTCTTTCTGTGGGTTTGGGGTCAGCCTGTTTCATGTCTCTGCTTCTCCTACCAGTCTCGATGTGATCTCTCCTTTATATCTTTACTTATAGTGGTTTTTTTCAGCTAGTGTTCAGAAGAACTTTGAAGTTGATTGTTCTATAATTTATTTGTAATTTTGGTGTGATCCTGGGATGCAGTAGGCATAGTGTTTACTTAATCTGCTATCTTGAATTGCTCCTATTGCTTTCAGTTTTATATCCCACATATGAGTGAAGTCATATGGTTCTTGACTGTTTCTGTCTGACGTATCTCACTTAGCATGATAATCTCAAGATCCAGATATATGAAAAAATGCTCAGCTTCACTAGCTATTAAGGAAATGCAAATAAAAACCACAATGAGATGCCACCTCACACCTGTTAGAATGGCTATTACCAACAAGACAAGTAATAACAAGGAAGCATTGTGGAGAATAAAGAGCCCTCATATACTGCTGGTGAGAATGTAAATTGGTACAGCTACTATGGGAAGCAGTATGGAGGGTCCTCAAAATATTATGGATAAAATTACCATATGAACCAGCAATCCTTCTTCTGGATATCTACCCCCCAAAAATCTAAAAATATTTATCTGTAAAGATATATGTACCCCTCTGTTCATTGCAGCATTATTCATGGTGGGCAAGACATGGAAACAACCAAAGTGTCCTTCAATAGAAAATTGGATAAAGAAGATGTGGTACGTATATACAGTGGAATATTACTTGGTCATACGAAAAGCTTAAATACTGCTATTTGTGACAACATGGATGGATCTTGAGATTATCATGTATAGAATTATTTTGATTCCATTTTGGAGATGAGAAATTCAGCTTAGAGAATAATAAGTGATTTGACCATGTGATATAAGCAGACATCTGAACTACAATAGAACCCAGACAGGAATCCTGGACTGGTACATATTCCATTACTCTTAATGAGTCTTGTTCCTTTAAAGTAGATTTTTTGGGTTTAAAGATCTATCTTATTTTGGAACTTCAGGGAAGGCATGTCTAGCGCCTTCTTTTTTTGTAAAGTCATTTATTACTTATTCAAAGAACTAAATTTTGTTGGATGTTTACCAAGGGTCAAATATTTGTGCCTTTTAGGAGCTCATCTATTTAAAACACAAACAAACAAATCTGAAAAGCAAAAGTGTCATAAAGAGGTAATATATTGTGTTAGATTTGCTCTGAGGCTGGGAATATTACTTCTGTCACATCGATGAGTAAGATTTCATAAAGAGAAGGTGACAAACTTTGACTTGGAATTTGAAGTCCAGGTAGAATCTATGTACACATAGAGACATGAGCAAAAAATTATTTGGGGGAATGAGTATAGTTGCTATTTATTTTTGCTGTATGAAAAACTATAGCTTTTCAGAAATGCTGAATTGGCATGGAGGTTGTCAAGAGCAAATGCAATCATTTGCCAAATATTCCCTCCTTTTTTCTTCAAAAGTATTACATTGTGAGCTACTACTTCCTGTACGCTCAGTTCTAAATGCTTCTCCCAGCAGACTGATATAACAGAGAAGAATGCAGGAATTGTTCCACAGAGAAAGTGGATATTTGCTAAATTGTTATAATGTTAGACTCTTAAGCAAGACAATGATAATGATCTAGAATTTGATCTCAACATTTCTAAGTTCATCTCTTGCTACTCCTCCTTATCCCTCCGATATACAAAACCCATGTTCTAGCTATCTCTGCCCACGTCGTTAACATATCGCACCTTTCTTATCCTTGTGCTTTTGCTTATACATAGTTCCATCCATTTGTTCGGTTGTGTGTTTGGGGCCGTATTATGTTCTGCCATGGTTATATATATTCTTCTCTGCTTTTCCAGTAGAATGAAAATGTCCATATCCTACATCTCCTGACACAGCACCCGATATATAGAATACACTCTATAAAAGCTTACTTAATTGGCTCAGATGGCCTCACATTCCTCCAAACTTCAATATTTTGTGGCATGAAGTATTGAATTTGAGATATTTGTGCCTTACCAGAGGTACAATCTGAACGTATAGGTACCCTCCAACCCCAACAGTGAAGAGCACCTATACCCAGGCTGCTCCTAGAAGCTCTACTCAGGGGCCAGACATAAAATTGCCCACCCTGGTTGAAGTCTGCCTTTTGAGTTTTACCTGGCCTTGCTGAGAAACAGAAAGAATTTCTGGGTCTCATTTAGATTCTTCTTACGATCCTGTGTATGTCCCAGCAGGTCATCCCAGGCCTTGTTCAGCTCTATCCGCTGCCTCTGCAGGTCGTCAGTGGCATCAGGGTGGGACTCACTGAGGCGCTCTGCTGTCTCCCCCAATATGGTCACCTAGGGAGACACAAGAGCTCTCATAATCAGCCTAGAGTCACCCTTAATTCCTAGCAAATGAATAGTCCTGAGCTCTGGGGGTGCTCACTCCTAAAACAGATATCAGTGAGGTATAAGAACATCTTGCTACTTTATTAACTAAAATGCCAACTTTATTGGTACACATAATAGTCCCCTGAAGTAGTCAACATTGACATGACCACACTTCTTTTTAAGATAAGAAGGCTGTCAGGGAGGGAACTTAAGAGAATGCTGATTAGGCGCAGCATCATTAGGGAACCCAAGGACCCTGATTTTTAATGTAAAAGTCTTTCCAATATAGATATTTCTGAGCTTCTTTTTCTCTGTGTGATAATGTCATGCTGTATGATGACTCTGATTTATCCCAGAGTGTATCTGGCAAGTGTATCCCAGAGAGTTTACTTTTCAGTTGGAGGAGGATTAAGCTCATTCAATTACTTGTGAAGAAAACTCTGCACTATGCTCAGGCATAGGCCTGGCCCTGTTGGGTATTACCATTTTCTATTTATCTTAGTATACTGGCCACCAACTAGCTTCTGTAAATTCTGCTCACTTGGAACCCATTAAAGAGGCACTTGGACAGTAGGAGGTTCATTTCCAATACGTTTTCCCTCCATGTTAATTGTCCCAGGTCATGTCCTTTAAGTGACTTTGCTTTAGGGACAGGGTACAAGAACAACTATGGAGTAATATAAAGAGAAATGTAAGGATAGGGACTGGAAAATCAGACCACAGAAGAGGGCATTGGTAGGTATAAACATGAGGAGGAAAGTGTTTGAAAAGCTTGGAAGTTCATGTCTCACCTTTTCCCCCAGGGGGATGAGGTCTCTTTCAAAGCCCTCATGCTGTCGCTGAAGGGCCTGAACACTGAACAGGTCGGAGCCAGGATCAGCAGCAATTAGGGCCTGGCACTTATTCTCAATCTGCTCCTTCGTGTCATCTGCTTCTCTGGTACATGAAAGTAAAGAGTTTAAGAGTAATAATGTGTACCAGAGGCAAACTAGATGCACTCACAAGGACGTAATCACCACCACCACCACCATCACCACCATCATCCTTTTTAATGTGCTAGAGCTTATGCTCATTTAATATTCACAACTACTTGAGGCATAGTTACCATTCCCATTCCCATTTTACATATGAGAAAACTGAAGCTTAAGATGCTAAGTATATTTCCTTAAGGTTATACTACTGCTAAATTGTAGAGCCTAGGTTTGAATGAGGTGCCCTGGCTGCAGAGCTACATGCTTAACTATTATATTTCATGAAAATACATTTTAAGCCATTCTAAACAACCATAACGATTTGCATTTTAGTTTTTCCTTCTCTGGATATTTAAAAATACATTTATACACAGTGAAGGTGTTTGGTTTCCTATTTGTTTGTTCATTTATTTGTTTGCTTATTTAGTTATGTGCATGTATTTCTTTGTGTAGACACAGATTTGGAAATCAGACATAACAAAGTATTGAATCAACAGTCAAAGTCACTGTGATGTTTGTGGTTCTCTACCATCTATTTAGAGTTCAGAAATATAGTTACTTAAACCTCTTGTTTCTACTTTAAGTTTCATTCACTATCACAAAAACATAGACTGCCTAGGCTCTGGAAAATGGAAATTGGTTGTCTGGGAGTATCTTATGTGCCAAGTGAGGAATCGACTACTGAAATACCTGCTCTCCTATTATCTCTATCTCAGGAAGAAGGGGTATACTAATAGCTATGGTTCTACTATAGTAATTAGACTTTTTTTTTTTTTTGAGTGGGTTCTAGAGCAGCATTACGTTTTAGGGTTAAAATTCTCACCTGTGAAACATTTGCACAGCATGGGCACTCCCCAGCAGCTGGCGCTGTTCCTCTGCAAGCCTCTGCAAGGAGCCCCAGCGGTTGTTCAACTCCTAAAAAAGGCAGACATACCAGATTTTAGCTAGGGAGCTGACTCGGGTTGCTCAGTTGTGTGTGAAGACAAGATGGGGTTTAAATCATGGTTGTTTTCAAGTTATCTCCATCCGAAAATTACATAGGTTTATTTCTTTCATGGATAGCTTGAGTTTGGGCCTCATTTATGCCAGTGCAGTTAAGAAACGGATTGCTTTCCTTCCCAAACTCATGTTTCAGGGTGGAACTGTCAACCCTAGAGTAGCAATCCACGTTTGTTGCCAAAGAGACTATATTACAATCTCTGAAACATGACTGGAAAGCGTTGCCATGGTAGTTAGAAGCTCTTATGTTTCATAATACCTTTCTGCATCCTGAATTGATGAAACAAAGTAGCCTCCTAGAATCCTACTTTCTGTACAGGGTAAGCAAATTGTACCTATGAACATTCCTTTTCCTTTTTACCCTGTATCAACCACCACAAAACATTACATTAATATTCATTAGATATTTTATGGAACCGTAAGTTCAAACCTGAATCAGGCCTAAAATGTTTTCTTCCCCATCTCTATTGATCTATATTCTTTTCATTCTTTCATCAGGTTTTATGAGAGCCTATCTCTTCCAGTAAATTTTCTTGATTTACCCCTTCTACTATCATAGCTCCTTTATCTGCATTTCCTTTGTATTCATGTATATGAGTACTGAATCTATTGTATCTGTGTTGACTGGGGAGAGTTGAGTATGTGTTGCAATTAAGAGACTTCAGATCAAGTTCAAATGACTGGACTGTTCAGACTATTGTCTTTGACCTTTTCTATAGTCAGCTCCATAGTGCCATTACCTTCTGCATATCCTAGCTGATCTGTGGACTATGAAGTTGAGTATGTTTAAGTGAAATTATGACTCCCAAAGCTCAACCTGGTAATGGAAGGAGACTTAATTACCTGCTGTATCTGAATTCCTTCTGGTGTTAGAAGCCCTTCAAATAGAAGATCATCAGCCACCTTGTTTATGTCCCTCAGTCGAGGCTCATTGGTCTTCAAATCCTAGGTAAGAAAATTTGCCCAAAACAGTGTAAATCCCCTTCTCAAGAATCTTTCATACTTTCCTGCTCATCTCTGCCCTGACTTGGCTAAATATTAAAATGCATTTCTAACCTTACTTTTAATGCACAACAAGCTGCCCTCCTCCAACCTGTCCCTAAGAAGAGTACCTTTAATCCCCTTGACACCCAGTGACTATGAAAAACTTGTCAAGAGAGCTGTTACGTATCTGAAGTATGGAGCACATCAATTTTCCTAGAATATGTGCATATATATATATATCTTCTCCCTGTTCTTATCTTTTGATGTTTGTTTGTTTGTTTCTCCTCCCCCCCCCTTCAAATTTTAAGTTACTTATATACTGGCATATTGGCCCATTATCTAATATATCTTGCAAATATTTTCTCCCCATGCGTTAATTTTTCATGATTTTGTTTATGGTGATATTTGCCATGCAAAACTAAAGGGTTTTTGTTGTTGTTGTTGTTATTTGCTTGTTTTAATTAAAATTATCAATCTTTTCTTTTAGCACATTTAGTGAACCTGAATTTTGAGTCATAGTTAGAAAGCCTTTCCCCACAACACATTAAAAAACATACTATAAAACTTTTATAATTAGAACAGCATGGTGATAACACATGAATAGACAGGCAAGTCTATCATAGTTTATCAAGTCTGTCATAGAAAAAACAGAAATAATTTCAATTACATATGGAATGTCATTATATGATAAAGTTATCAACTCAAATCACTATGGCAAAAATGGACTTTTTAATAAATGATGTTGGAACAATTGGTTAGCCATTTGGGAGAAAAGATAAGATTGACCTGTACCTCACAGCATATTTAATGATAAACTCCAAATGAATGCTATTTAAATGTAAACGGAGAAAGTTAGGTGAATTTCTTTTTCCAGGCTTTTTAAGAAATCTCTCCCTGGATTAAGTAACACCATCAGAGAGATCTATATTTGAGCCATATAATATTCTCTTCTACCACTACAAACTGCTCCACATTCTATAGAATTTCATGGACTGAGTTGCAATCTGATTATACTGAGGTATATTGTAAGAAACAGCTCTAGGGAGCACATTACAATGTTTACAGTGATAATATTGTTTATTACATTATACAATAGCATTTCCCATGGAAGTCTCATTCTTGGTGGTTTTTTATAATTGTACTCCTGTTTTCCAGTCTTTCATTTTTCTCTTTATATATTCCTGAAAAAATAAATTATAATCTCTATATTTATATATCTATCATATCATCTATGACTTTGAATTCCATATGGAAGCTATCATAAGAAAAAGACAGACAGAAAGAAAGAAAGAAAGAAAGAAATTAAAATAATAAAATGAATCTGAGAGAATAAAGGAAAATGGAAGGGTTTTAGGCAGGCAGAAAACAGAAATCATCTAGCTGAAAAGTCAGGTTGTTCTTCCCATCTTCCCACCCAATTTCTGCCCCATAATTAGGCTTTACACAGAATCTCACAACACTTCATCTCAACTTGGGCATCAGTAACACAGTACAGTATTAGGCAAGTTTTGAAGAATTCAGGGAGGTCAATACTCCCTGTAGGACTTGGGAGTAGCAGGAATTGCAGGCTGTTAGAGTGACTAATTTCCTCTGCATTTTCTTTGCACCTACAATATCCAGAGAAAGGTTTGAAATGTGAAACTCTCAATAGCTTTGGGGAGGATATTTAACAAATGTGAAATTAAGGAGTTACTTAGGAAAAGATATGGGATAAAAGGGAAAAGATATGGGATAAAAGAAACAATGATAACCCTCAAAAAACTGTCTTTCTTACCGTTTGGAACGCATCAAACTTTTTCTGCAGCTCCCAAACATCATCTGGTTCTACCCCAGTGTTTTCTGCCTTTTTCTCTCGGATCCAGTCCAGCATGTCCCCTGCCTCATAGGCCAGCAAAAACTCATTGTAACGTTGCAATAGACGACGTCTGCGTTCTTCTGCCCGATCAAGGAGGGAGTGGTACCTGGGTGGATATATGAAGAGAATGGGGGAGTGGAATAACAGATAGAGAAAAAAACAGAAGAGTAGGGTCAGGGTGGAAAAGTAAGAGGATTAAAGGGACAAAAAAGAGGGGAAAAAATCAAAAGGACAACAGTAAAGGAGAAGAATAAAAATAGAAGGAATACAGCATTGAGAGCAGAGAGACAAACACACAGTGTTCCATTTAAAAAGAATTAAAATGTCAATGTTCCAAGAGTATGCCTAGCAACATCCTATAGAAGTGAAATTTCAACATGTCTGCTGACAACTAGATATGAAATAACCTGGCATAATAAACAAAATTCATATGGAAGTCAAAAGACCTTTAATAACCTTGAAAGAATGCTGGTCAGGGAATCAGAAGACATGATTCTATTAAGTGTTTCACTTTGGGTGATTGACTTAATGGTACTAGGTTCCTCCTTCCTCTTATAAAAACTAAAATAGATGAAGGACCCTAAGTTTACTTTGAGCTCTTAAAATCTGTGAATTTTCAAGGCCTCTCTAATCTAACAGATGCAGTCATGAGAAGTGCCTTTGACCAATAGGAAATGTTTGGCCAAACACCTGTCCAGTTCTCCAGTCTCCAGGACTTACTGGTTCTCAATCTGCTCCTGGCACTGGCTGATGTAGCCCGGTTCTTCTCGCTGCCGCTGTGGGAGCGTAGGAAACTCATCATGGGCCAGTTTCTTGACGTAGACAGCTGGCACAAAACCCTGGTGATCATCAGCTTCTACCTTCCACCAGTCCTGAAGGGAGAGCAGATCCCCACTCATTCTTTAGTTCTTGGAAAAACCACAAATAGGATAGGCTTCAACTCTCTTAACTAAGTCTCTAAACACAGGCACAGCCTGGTGGCCAAGAGAAGCAAGTCATTACTAATGGGAGGAATTATAATTTTGACATATTGCAAAAAACATAAATAAGGAGTTGCAAGAATTGCAGAGATAAGCCTGAAATCAAGGAATCTGACATTTGATTAGCCTTTAACTTTGATGAGGTTTTCAAAAAACAAAGATAGTTCTTGTAATGATGGGGTATTTTGCCACTAGGAATTAAAAGTAAAAAACAAAACAAAACAAAAAAACAAATGTGAAGGCAGAATCGAACTGGATTTCTTAGTAGTGGAGCACCTGAGCATGACAACAGTGTACAAGAACTTCTCTCACCCTATCCCTTTCCAAGAACTAAAAATTGTGTTGCCCTCAAATTCACTTATGTGAATGCTTTATGCTTAAGCATCACCCTGATCCCCACAGAGTATTTTCGGTGTGATTCTATACAAGGTATGATCAAAGAATAGGGTGAATGTTTAAATAAAAAAAATTATTATGGTAAAAGACACATTGCCATTAATCCATTTCAAAATACTCCCCCTCACTTGGAACACACTATTTCATCATTCTTGCCACTTTCTGAAGCAGTGCTGGAAGTCGCCTTTCATGAGTGTCTTTAGTCACGCTGTCGTGGCTGCCTTCACGTCCTGAATCGATTCAAAATGTTTATGTTTCATGGTCATTTTGACTTTGGAGAAGAGCCAGAAGTCATATGGTGCCAGATCCAGTGAATAAGGTGGATGAAGACACACCATAATGTGTATATATATATATATATATATATCTTATTTGACACAAATTGCCATACCAGAAGAGATGTGTGACATAAAGCCTTTCCATTGTGATCACAAAATATGGTGAATACTGCTGCTAAGTGACATCCAATGGAAAGGCAGGGATCTTCAAGATGGGAA